CAAAATGGAGATGGCTAGAAAACAGATTAACAGAGCGGTGAAGCTGCTTGACAGCTTCAAGCAACTCGGTTGTGTCAGGAATGCCATTGTTTCATCAACACAGAGACACACACACACACACACACACACACACACACATACACACACATACACAGCCAGACAGTCAAGGGTGCTGATAAAGACTGTGTGTCTCTAGACAGTGCCATTCTGTTAATCATGATAGAACAAAGCAGGCGGATCCCCTGATGGCAACGATAACAGCCTGACAGAATCACAAGATAAAACACACATACACCCACACACACACACACACACACACACACACACACACACACACACACACAAATGCACATTGCAGGGGCCATGAACAATGACACTCCCCCAGCTGTCTAGACAGTGCAGGGCTTCCGTTGGCTGGCTGCTGGAGATCTCAGGGGGGATTAGAGCACACACCACTACACTCACCTGTTCTGAGCTGCTTGTTTCTCAATGTATTTTTTTTCCTGCACTTGATGTAGTGTGACAGGCACAGAGGAAGCTGGGTGTATGGAAACAAGTCATACATAGAGTACAGCTGTGGACGACTTCTTGACGACACTGATGGAAAAGAAAGTGGTGTAAGCAATATGGGTATAAAATAATAAAAGTAGTTTTAAAAAGTAGTGATCTATGACGTTTTAAAGGAAGTAGTCACCTGTTTCGGTTTGTGTTTGTCATTTCAACATAGAGATGTCACCAAAGCCTAAAAATAAATCAGAAAACAGGATCTTGCAGATTTCGACTTTAAAGAGAGACTATGTATGTTTTTGAAGAAGAAATTATACAGTCTTCATCTTACAAAAGAAACTTATTATTCATAAGCAATAACACTAACCTAAAATAAGTTCAGTCCACTCAAAGGTTCTCCTAATACAACCCTAGTTGGTCTGGTATGACCAATATCTTATAGTGGCTCATGTCGGCTAACTTTAGCAAACCTCATTGTATAATGCTGCATCACTGACATTATTGAGTCAGTGTGCTGACTTTCCTTTTGCTACTGTTACACTACATTTTATTATGTAACATTTAAACATTATAATGGTTTCATCACAAAACTAAAACAGGAAGTAAGCGAAGTGTACTTGGAGTTATCGTAACGACTTACGGCATCCAATTTGTAAACAGCTGTTCACCTCATCTTCCAAGTCATCGTTGAGACTGCGAAAATCAGATATTTCTAAAAAATCTTCATTATATCCAACTTGACACTTACTAATACACAGCTGTCTGAAAACCAAACAACATAAGGGTGCCACAAATCAGCCACGGACGTTTGTTCAGATTCGATGGATGTAGTCTTAAGTATGTGGAGTATTTTGTTCTTCACACAACCAACTCTGTAATCATATCGCCATCTTGATGAGATGAACAATCACAAACCGCTAACATGACAGTCTTTCCTATCTCTGCCATCCATCCCATGTGACGTTAACGCGGCATTAAAGTAACTGATTCCAGAGAATCTTCGGGAATTAAAGAAAATTCAATATGCCATTTTCCTGTAACTGTCACTTTTGATCAAAGTGAGCACTTAAAGATGCCTCAATGCAGTTGCTGTTTTTTTTTTGTTTTTTTTTTTTTACTACCTTCCACTCCCACGTTATCGTGATTCTAATCCTAACCCTGCAGTTTTAGTGGCACAGTGAGAACAAGGCTGAGTGTGTCACACACAGACACTGAGGACTGGCCTACGATTCAGTGCTCACATCTGTAGAGGTGTTACCTGACTGACCCTTTTCTTCACATGCTACAGAGCTATAATGAAATGATGTATCAGAGCTTGAGAAATGCGGGGGGGGGCAAGGGGGGGAAATAAGGAGAGTGAAGATTATCACAAGTGAATCATTGACAGTTTGTGCACGTAGAGTAAAACTCGCAGTCACTCCCGTACATATATGAATACAAACACAGAGATGCAGGGGTGTGTGTGTGTGTGTGTGTGTATATGCATGAGATGACTTGCAGATAAACTCCTGGATTTAGTCACACAGACTCCTAGAGCTGGGCAGACTTTTTCTTCCTGTCAGTCCTAACATAAAGCAATTCCTTCCAGTAACCATAAAGCTTATAGAGGCTTGCTGGATTTGTCCATTTCTCTGTTTATCGGGGCATGTCTTCTCTGTGGCTGCATGTCGTTATCCAATCTAGAGGAGTATTCTGCAAGGACACCCTAGGTTTGCCCCTTATGGAACCTAATCTCGACAGTGACAGTGGGAGGAAAACAGCTGAAATGTTATATCAAGGGCGTTTTAGAGTTGCAGTTTGGACTGTGGTAGCAATATTTTTCAACTGAGGTTATTTGGATATGTCTGACTCTGCAAAATAGACAATTTAAAAGCTCATTCGAGTTCAGGACAGGGAGAGACACAGATATACTTGTCAGTTTTCCCTATCAAGTGTGGTATATAGTTCAATCAGATGTCCTGAGTATTACCTGCTTTGTAAAACACCCCTTTTCTGCCTCTCACAGGCTGTTGTCAGTGTATCACAGAGTAGTGTGCAGTGGGGAGCCATGATTATAGCTCTCAGGAGTAGACCAGAGGATGTGGCCCCCTTTAACCACGACATGTATTGTGAGAGATATGGCCGTGGGTGTCAGTGGTGTAAGTAGGAAGGAAAGCTGTAAAACCGCCTCACAGAAAGACAGACTCCCCATCCCCCCAGTCTTTTGTGCGCCTGTCTGCGTGTGTTCATGTCTAGGTGTGTACAAGTGCATGAGTAAGTGCTCATATGTAGGGGAACAGGGAGAACAAAGGAAAACTGAACCTCTCTCACACAGGAAACTTGAGACATGAGCTGCTCTCCTGCACACCAGTGTGTGCTTGACCTTTCACCCCAGGGACCCAAGATGCCGGTTTATCGAGGTGGCTGATAGGCAGGGGTGGGTGGGGGGTTGGGGGGTGTTTGGCGTGCCTGAAGGTCACCAGAGGATGAAACGATTGCAGCAAACCCTGACCATTCCTAGGTTTCCTCCAGTGATTTAGGATGATAGCTGATGTGACTGTCACAGCTTTGCCATTTCTTAGAGTAAGGGAAAGATTATTTTCAGCTCTTTTCTGCTGTTTGTCTGTGAGTATTACTGTGTATGTTTGTGTGTGTTCATTCTGGCCCAGCACTGGCTGTTGTCTGAGCTGCAAACAGCAGGAAGAATATGGCGTGTTTAGATCAGAAATAACTTCCTGTGTGTTGCTCAAGGTCTCACTGTTCACATGTGGCTTTGCTGCCCTTCTCGTGACTCCTGCAGGCAGAGAGGCTTTTGCTGCCGAATGCGCCTGAAGGCACTGAGAGACTGCAGTTGCTCTCGTGATGATGTCTGATTCAGGTAGACGTAGTCACCAGGTTTGGTCAGCGAGAGCGGGAGCAGCAAATTAATGTCAAATTCTGATATCAGAAACAAAATTTAATTACTTGCCAATTGCCATTCACCAAATTTTATTCAGTTTAACAATATTTCTCTTGCCTCTTTCTTGCCATTGTAAAACTTGTCAATGTAGGAGGGTCTCTATGATTTATCAGTTACATGCAGATGACATTAAGGAGATGATGAGTGATGGTGGTAAGTGCACCCTGAGGATCACAGTGCTCTCTGTTTCCGTAGTATCTCCACTCTAGCGTACAGCGCAGTAAGTGCTGCTCTCCACTACAGCTGCAGTGTTGGTCCATTGAGGGAAGGAGCATGTTGAATTTTTAAAATGTGTAATCCAGAGCATTCTTAAAGGGAAAGACATACAGTACTGGGCAGAGATAGAGGCCACACCATTGCTTTCGGGCAGCAACAGTCTCCACGGCGACTGAGTGACCCACATTTTCATTCTCTCCTCTGTCTTGTTGATGTGGGAGATGGAGGGCAGCTGTTGGGTGGGGAGGATGGGTGGGTGGGGTATTCCGGATCCCCCGACGATGGCAGCGGGTCATCAGTTGGAAAGGATGAGTGTGTTGCTGTGAAGAATGAGAGTGAATCAGAGATGATACAGTGAGACGGGGAAAAAAGAGGGAGAGAATTGAGGCTAAAATAGAGGCCAAGCAAATCAACTACAGTGAGAGTGGGAAAGATAAAATGATGCCTTAGTCAGTTAGTTAGTTAGTCAGTTAGTTAGTTAGTTAGTCAGTTATTTAGTTTGTTTGTTTGTTTGTTTATTTGTTTGTTTGTTTGTTTGTTTGTTTGTTTGTTTGTTTTGATTGATTGTCTGTCACGACACCAGAAATCCCATAGAAGTGATAAAACATTTGTCCGACATGAACATAACTTCTTACATGTAACAATACATTGGAAAGAAAGAGCTTTGTCCTCTGTCCCAAGTTTGACAAAATAAAATCTGCCACTAAAACAGTTCCAGAACTCATCATAAATGAAGGACATGCAATGAAACAATGAAACACATAGCTCTTTAATTGTCGTATAATGAATAAGAGGCATTAAATGGATTTTGTCTTCGATCTCATCTAAAGCACACAACAAAGTCTTCTCTCTTTGCTGAAACTATTAAAACCCACCTGTTTCTATAGTTTATGGTACCTCAACATAACTGTGCATGTAGAGATCTTCACTTTCTGCTTTGCATGAAGCTCCACACTCTAGTTGTTTTTCATGAGACAATAAGTTAATAATTTTGTTTTTTACCAAACATAAGCAGGCCTTCTTTCCTTATACAAAACAATTTGTTCTGAGCACCATAGATATTCCACTGTAATCTATTTCAAAACTAAAAATGTATTAATTATACAAAATAAAGATTTTGCATAAATGTCCCACTGAAAGATCTTTTTACAAGAAGTGGATTAGTTGTGCCAGAGACCCAGTGTGAGCAAAATATACATTTAATTCCCAAATAAAATTAACTCCCACCACTACATGCACTTGAGTTTCTATTTCTCAAAACCCATCTTTATTCCTCTTCCTCATTCTGCCTATATACTGCTGACAGTGTGTTTTTTCTGCCTGTCTCTTTGTATTTTAGACAGGAATGCCCCAGACTGTGTGCTCAGGCACCATGTTCACCACTCCCAGTGGCTTCAGCCCTCATCTGGCCTGTGCTGAGCCTGGGGAGGAGGAGGAGGCCCCACAAGAGGGCCCGGGGCCCGGGGCTTGCCTGGCTGATGGGCCCCCGATCACCTCTGCCTCCCTGGACACTCTTATTCAGAATCTGGTGCCCACTGCAGATTACTACCCCGAGGTAAGGGGAAACATACCACAGTTACTCCACTGTTCATTGTACCCTCCATCAGAAAGTCAGTTTCAGTTCATAGTAGTAATGTAAGTGCTGCCTATTAGATTATTAGCCCCATGTCTCTATTTAAAGTGCTATTCAGCTTCCTTTAATTACAGAAAGCTGCAGTGTTTTTTATTGATGTAGTGGCAGTGTCTTAGCGAATGTCATCTTCTGTCCTTTGACAGAAAGCCTATGTGTTTACCTTCTTGCTGAGTGCTCGTCTGTTCATCCCTCCTCCGGAGCTGCTGGCCAGGGTGTGTGAGCTGTGCATCAAACAGCAGCAGCTGGATCAGAGCCCACTCGATACGGTCAGCACTGCACCACACACAAATACATAACTCCTGTGAACACATGCACGCGCTAATAAACAGGAGCACAGGCGGATGCCGAAAAAAACATGTTCCACATGTAAACAAAAAAACACTCATCTTTTTGGCAAATTGCTGACTTTATGATAGTGTTTTGTTTTGCTGATACAGTCACAAATTCAGACTGTGGTAAAGCTCTTTCACTTCTTCAACAACAGGCCAAAGTGCGCAAGTTTGGTCCCAAGATCCTGCAGCTGCTGACAGAATGGACAGAGACATTCCCGTCCGACTTCAGGGATGAGAAGATGGTCGGATACCTTAAAGACATCATCCACAGGATAGCTCCATGTGATGAGGTACAGTAATGGCATGGCGCCATACTCATATTATAGCAGTAATGTCAGACGGACCAGTCGTCCTCATCAAACACAGTTTTGGAAAGATGTAAGATCTTCAAAAAGAAGCTACAAGATAACAATAGTCAGTTTCTAGTGAATAACAATTTGTGATGTTGTGATTTTCAGCCACGCTATAGTTGTGGCCACTATAGTCCTTATAAGCTGTAGCTGCAGTGAGAAATGCTCTGATGGGGAACAAAATTCACTTATCATCACTAGCACTGTGGTGGGGTGGTGGAAGGAGTCAGAGTGTCAGTGTAGGGTGAGTAGCCCCGGCTCTGTGTTACACAATCTTATATTACAGGAGAGGAGAGAGGAAGGAAGGATATTAGAGGAGTGGCTCTATCTGCAGCCTCGAGGGAAAGAGGGAGGGAGATGGATGGAGAGAAAATGGGGGGATGGGATACAGGGGCACAGAGAGCAGAGGAGGAGAAGGTGGAGGAGGGTGGAGGGGAGTGGACGACTAGGAAAAATGGAGGGAGGTGAAGAGAGGACAGAGGGAAGGGAAGGGCAGGTGGTGATGAATGTGCTGCTATTTGCAGCTGGCTGTCTACAGTATGGGCGTGTGTGCATGTGTGTGCATACATGTGGGAGCTGTGGCTCCGGGTAGTTTGTGAGACAGACTGACCTAACGGCCTCTGCGACCAGTCATCTGGAGGGAGAGGCACAGAAACACACATTCCTGGATGCACTGCTCTTCACTGCTGTTGTGTGAAAACCTCGAAGACATGTTTTAATTCAACTGAAAAATGACATTGTACTTTTAATTCCTGAGCTCATTAAAACCTTTCAACCACCATTAGATAGTGGCAAAATGCATTGCCTTTGTGCTAAAAATAAAGATGTTCTATTTAAATCTTAATGTTTTGGAGATTAAAGGTTTTCAGCAAGAAGCCACAGTGATACAGTTAATGAGGTAATTTACACATATAAAGAGTTTATAAATTGCCAGTAATTTATTCATTCTCAGTAGCTCTTAAATACTCAGACACAGTGCATAGGGCACATTTTAAAGAACGCAAATACTTCAATAATATATTGAGAGTATATGTACAGTTTATATAGTCTACTAAGACTTGCATGTAACAGTTAAAGCATATTATGTACATGTTACTGCACAATTACATTGTAATGGGTTGCCAGGTTTTGAATCTAAACTGACTTTAGGGATAACTTAATCGGAAATATATCCTTTAATATATATGTATCCTATTATTTCATTAATCGTGAGCGATATTTGTTGGTTTTCTGGTGGAGCACTGCTGAGCATCTTTGCCAATAACCAATTATTATTGACAAACTAATATTTATAACTATGACAGAGTAAGCACACTTTGGAAGAGAATAGAGTGTTGAAATACGGGCTCACAATCTGGCAACCCAGCCGTTCTTTTGATTTATGCCTATTACTCATCTCTCAAGCATTAATAAATTATTCGTTAGAGTCATTATTGACCTCTCCTCTCCTCTCCTCCCTTCTCCTCTCCTCCCCTCTCCTCTCCTCCCCTCTGTAGGCATACTGGAAAACCCTGAACCAAGTGCTGCAGAAGCTGAGCCAGAGGCTGGCCCTGATGAGCCAGGGGGAAGAGAGCATCGTCAAGGTCTCCCTCAATGCCTCCTCCATCTCTGACAAGCTGGTGGCCTTCAAGACCAAGCCTCCGCCCATCCAGAAGGACATGCTCTCCATCTGCAGCGACCCGTACACACTGGCACAGCAGCTCACCCACGTGGAGCTGGTGAGGAGAGGGGGGGGGGTTAGACAGAGGTCAGGGTAAAAGATGATAACGAGGATGGAAGAGGAGGAGAGGAAAGCATGTTTGATTGGGAGGGGGGCGCTGAGGATGGTGGAGATTTAGTCTATGTCAAGGACATAAACATGGGATAAAAGACATCAAAGGAGGAGAAGGAGGGAATAGAAACAGATATGAGGTTGATAGAAAATGACTGAAAGAACAAAGGAAAGATGGTGGGAGGTATAGAAGCAAACTAAAATTGGCAGAAACTCTTAACACTGTGATCTTATAGCATTTTGAAGATTGCTGTAGTATAACCTGATTATTACTTGTCAGCTATTCCAGCGCTAACTAGTCTTCACCCAGTGTAACAAGAACAAAGGGAATAATGCAATGAAACATACATGAACAAAAGGATCTCCTGCAGTGTCCCTCACATTGCATGCATGGTGCCTTCAGTCTATTCATGTGTGTCTTGATGTGGGCACGTGTATCTGGGGGTGGTAGTGTTTCTGTGTGTGTGTGTGTGTGTGTGTGTGTGTGTGTGTGTGTGTGTGTGTGTGTGTGTGTGTGTGTGTGTGTGTGTGTGTGTGTGTGTGTGTGTGTGTGTGTGTGCGTGTGCGCCTGCCTGAGTAAGCTTGTACCCTTGTCTGAGCGGTGACATCACCCCAGAAGTCACTGATGTGCCTGGGGCTTCAAACAAAGGGGATAAAACCAGTGTGGATATATGTGACCTGACAGCTTCACACATACACACACACACACAGAAGGAGAGAGAAAGACAGACATGTACAGTACACATATACAGCACTTTATTCTGTCTTATCTATATCTTATTGTAGGTTTTAGCAACATGTTAAATCTGGTTAAAAAGAGTTTGTGTTTTGTGTGTGTGTGTGTGTGTGTGTGTGTGTGTGTGTGTGTGTGTGTGTGTGTGTGTGTGTGTGTGTGTGTGTGTGTGTGTGCAGCACTGTTTTTTGTTTTTGCATTATATCACGAGTTGAGAAAGGTCTAATGAGTCATGTTGATTTGCACATGTACGTGACTGCACAGCTGTCTTTTAATAAAAGTGAATATTGTCTCAAGTGTCACTTTGAGGAAATATGATTCCAATAAGTCACGTCGATGAGTCATTACTTCCCTTTATTGATTGCCTTCCATTACTGAAATGAAAGAATTATTAATGGGACTACGCCCATGTGTGTGTGTGTGTGTGTGTGTGTGTGTGTGTGTGTGTGTGTGTGTGTGGTATGTGTTATCTGTGTGTATCTGCGTGTGTATGTGTGTGCATGCGTGTCTGTGTGTTGTGTTTTCCAGGAACATTTGAGTCACATTGGACCAGAGGAGTTTGTCCAAGCCTTTGTTCAGAAAGACCCGCTGGATGGAACACAGGTACACTTATAGTGTTTCTACATCGCAATATTATTTTTTAACAGTAATTCATGAGTATGAATTTTAAAATTAGTTTTGTGTAATCTTTTGCCATATCAGTGGAAACCCATAGTGTGTTCTTTGTGTTTTCTGTTTTGTTTTGTTGGGGAATCCTGAAGAATAGCTGTCACAGTAAAGAAGGGAAAAGCCTTCTATATTGTGTTGTTGGTGTCTAAGGTCTGATCAGGATTTGCTTCTTAAGGGGCCAAACAGAGGTTGGCGAGTCAAAAGGTCGCGAACAGCACAGCATTTCATGTCACAAGCTCTGGCTCACGTACACAAGTGCTTCATCTGCCCACTCTGTTCAACATTTCCTTCTCTCTTCTTTCCAATGTCACTCATCCACTGTGGTTTTTCTGCATATTCAGCTTCCGTCTCTTTCACTCGTCTTCTCTCCGTATGTCCTTCCCCCTGTGGTTTTTTTCACCTGCTTTCCATTGATCGTGTTATTTCCGCTCCCAGCTCGCCGTCTTTGTCATTTTCACTCACATAGGGGGTCAGCCTGTAGATAGGAAGCTAATTAGGATCAGAGGAATTCCCTATGGTAATGCTTCCTATACTCACTTGTGTTTATGTTTTTGTGTGCACGTGTGTGTGCATGTGTGTATCATCAGCAGCCATGCTTCAGTGACCAGAAGAAGAAAACCTCCAACCTGGAGGCTTATGTCAGATGGTTCAACAGACTGTGTTACCTGGTAGCTACTGAGATCTGCATGGTGAGTGGCAAATGCTGGTACACCGGGTACTCATTTATTCTGACATTAGACTTCAGAAGCAAAGAGACAGGATAAAAATACTCATTATGTGAGCGAGTGTGAAGAACACTTATCCTGGTCACAAAACAGGACAACCATTGAAGAAAAGCACTTTAATCATGAAGTAGACGTGAAAATGAAGTGGGAGGAGACATTAGAAAGATGATGCCTATTTTTACACATAGTATATATTCTGTGGGGCAGAGTGGAGATTTACTTTTGAAACACACAGCTGAAAACACTGACATGTCATTCACTGATTTAAGTTTTTAAATAATAATTTCTGGAATAACTTCGTACTCTAGTGGTCTTTCATTCTTGTAAACAAATAGAGGGATGTCATATGAGGGCAGTTTAGTTGTTATGAACCATCACTGCCCCCTAATGGTAACATTGTTTTACTTCACTCTCACTGAGAGGGATTGTTCTGTACAGAGAGAGATAACATTCAATATGAGAAAAATGAAGTGTCTCTTTTGTCTCCTTTTTGCAGCCGGCGAAGAAAAAACAAAGAGCCCAGGTGATTGAGTTCTTCATTGATGTTGCCAGGGAGTGTTTCAACATCGGAAACTTCAACTCCCTCATGGCCATCATCTGTGAGTTTAATTTAGTGATATCTGAGAGTATTATCACTGAGTGTTCTCCTGCCTGACCTGGTATTAATAGTTGAAATCTATTTCCTCACATAGCTGGTATGAACATGAGTCCTGTGTCTCGGCTGAAGAAGACTTGGGGCAAAGCCAAGACTGCCAAGTTCTTCATTCTGGAGGTAAACATAATGCAGCCTTTCACAGACTGAGAAGTACAAGACAGGTCATAACTTGAAGCTGACAGCATGTTGCTTGTTGCCATTTACTCTGACAGCATCAAATGGATCCTACGGGAAATTTTTACAACTACAGGACCGCCCTGAGGGGGGCCGCCCATCGCTCTCAGACTGCCAACAGCAACAGAGAAAGGGTAAGGCTCGACATCACGTCAATGCTATTACTCTGAAAGCATGCTGGCATTGATTCACTCATTTATTTTCATTTTCGCGCCAATGTTTTCTATATCTAAATCTATTTGTATCTGTTTCCCCTCCACAGATTGTAATTCCCTTCTTCAGTCTGCTGATCAAAGACATTTATTTCCTGAATGAAGGCTGTGCCAATCGGCTGCCCAATGGCCACGTCAACTTTGAGGTTAGGCTTTCTCTTTTCTCCTTACCCTGTTGCATTTAACCGCCCTCCAAAAAAAACATATTCTTAGCACAGTTTTGTTTCTTAGAAATTCATGGAGCTGGCACGACAGGTCGGGGAGTTCATGACATGGAAACAGGTGGAGTGTCCATTTGAGGAGGATCGGGCCATCCTGCACTACCTCCACACTGCTCCAATCTTCAGCGAGGATGGTGAGAACCTACCATGTTGTCTTCATTTTAGGAAAATTTCTGAACATGCTGATGTAAAGATTTTCATAATAGTTTGTGTTTTGTCTAACTAACCTGCCCTCTTAATCCATCAATTTCTTCCCCAGGACTCTACCTTGCATCCTATGAGAGCGAGAGTCCAGAGAACCAGGTAGAGAAGGACAGATGGAAAGCACTCAGGTAAGAATCATAACACAAGTGACATGAAAGCTGCTACTGAGCATAAAGAGACGCACCATCCCTCATCAGCATCTCTTTTCTCCCATCAGGTCCAACGTTCTGGGAAAGACATGAGGCACTGACGGCAGCTAACCCTCCCACCAGCGAGGGAGCATGTGATCTCACTGCACTAAAACGAACTGTGAAGGAACCTAGCTGGTACTTAGGTGTTTTTCTATGAAGAAATTATGAGAAAAAAAAAAAAGAAACACGATGAACAGGATTCATCAAGAAGAGTGTGAAAACAAAAAAACAAAACAGAAATCAACGCATCAAAAAAGTGAATTGAAAATGTTAAGCTAAGAAAACTGGAGCAAAAAGCCTTTGCAGCATATCAGTGAAGAGGTACAGTATGTCGGAGAGGGATACAGCTTCTCCTTCCCCCGTCCCCTCGATGTGTGTTTACTCTGTGAAGATATGTTTACTACTATAGAGAGTACAGTTACAGGGACAACCACTTTATAAAATGAAATTCCTACTGATGCTATAGTTGTTTTTGTATTTGCTCCTCTCCCTATTCCTCTCTCTTTCTCTTCCCCTTTGGTCCAAAGCCTTGTCTAGATATTTAATTTAACTTTTTTCCTTTACTTGTAATGTACTGTAATGAAACTTACAATGACGTGAAGGGCGCTGGCTAGCCCACATCAGCTGTCAAATTTTATAGGCCTACTGAAGGAATGGGAACCGCTTGTATATCTGGGACAACAGAAGATGACATGCCTTGAGCATTTTACCAGTTCATCTCATGTGTACTTTTTATGTGTGGGAATGTGTGTATGTTCATGCATCCACGTCTGTTCAGATTGTCACTGTCTTGTTTTGCATGAGAATGACTGGAGAAACCTGTGTTATTGGTCATGTCTTCTTGACATTTTATTTATTCTTTTATCTTAATTTGGGAAAGTGTTGGGGCGGGGAATACCAACTGTTTAAGAAGTGTTTACTCCTTTTAAATGTATTGTGCCATTAATGCAAGAAAACGACAGTATAGCTCAACGGTCACAGCAGGAGCCAGGCCAGGTGTAGATTGTGTACAGGTGACATTTACCCCTCATCTTTCTGCTCTTCAGGAAGTTTTCTCTGACTGACGTTCAGTTGTCTGATATATTTATGGAGATTTCTGTGCTGACAGATGTATAGTTTTTATTGTAACTTTCCTTTCTTGAAAATGAAGTACAATGGCATGCTATGACGGGTGTTTTTAAAGGGGCATTAAGCGTATCCACCTTGTAAAGATTACTACAGCAACACAGACTTTGTAGTGATGATGTATTGTTGCATTCAATGGAAGGACAATGATGAATTGGAGACTTTTGTCTGTCTAAAGAAGTAAAGAGGGAAACTTGTGCCATATGAATCACTGGTTGTCATGATAATTCAGGTTCCTCTGACTTGAAATGTGTTGTTTATCGTTTTGTGGGATTGTCACTGAGCTTTGTTTTTGGCAGTTTTGTTGTGATTCGGGAGCCATTTTTGAGGGTGGGGGGTGGGAGGAAGGAAGGGTATGGGAAAGGGATGGGGAACTATGTAATTATAAGCTTTTTAAAAAAGTCTTATTCAGTTTGCTATAATTGATTGATGTCAGTGTTTCCTCTTAAGAAGCACCTTTCCCTCTTAATAACAGACTGACTTTAATTCTCCCTCCTCATTTGTCATCAATAAACTTGCTTTTCTTGTAACACGTTCCCCAGACAAGTTAAGACTGTAGAGAGCCAGAGATGTGATGTCAAACCTGCCATTCAAGGTGACGACATGTTTTAATAAAACATTGCCTGTGTTGAACATGTGTTTTCAATGACAGTCAGATCCAGGACATCAGTGCTGCACTTTTTTTATCATTTCACTGCTGAGTCAGCTTTTCGCAAAAACACATACATCAAATGAAACTGTCATTTATTTTCCTTACAGATTAATCTTTGTTATTTTTTAAATTGATCATTTAATTATTTTATCTACAACATATCACAGAATTGTGAAAACTGCCCATTGCAATTTCCCAAAGACCAAGGTGACCTCTTTAAATGAATTTTTTTGTCCATATTTAATATAAAAAGTGATAAAGCAGAAAACAGCAATAAATTTGAGACACTGGAAATAGCAGATGTATGGCACTTTGCTTTATAAATGAAACCATTTTTCAAAATTATTGTAGATTATTTTTGTAATGATTGACTCATTGTTTCATCTTTTATTTAAATTATATCTGATGAAGATTATGACAGTTTTATCTCTTTATTGCATGGACCTGATTCTGATTTTAATAAATCATCTTAATATGCCTGAAAGGCAGCCGATGTACACAGTTGATTTAATGTTAATTGAGACAAACCAGCAATCTTACAAAGCCCACATTTAATGTTATTTCTGGGGGAAAATCTCAGACATATTCCATGTAAAATGGTGGCAAATCAATACAAAACAACGTGCTTATTTGAAGGTTCAGTTTAAAAGGTTTTAGTCTTTGAGTTCCTCTCCACCTGAACCAAATGTTATCTGGGACAGTTTGGTGTAAGATTCAAAATGCCTGGAGCCCAGGTAGGTGCCGAAGAAGGCCTGGAGCACCAACACTGCCCTCATTCTTCTAAGGATCGGTCTGGACAGGTCCACCCAGTACCGGAGCACATTGCCCTTCTCTGGCATCGGTGCTGTGTTGTACCTGGATGCAAGGCCAATATTCACGGGTAAGGCCAGGAGGATGGGGTACACACCAGCACCAATCACACCCACAAGTGCACCTCGTATCAGGGCACATGAGGGACAGTTGAGGTCACCGGACAGGAGGGAGCTGGACACCACTGCGTTATACAGGGCAGCTGTTGTCATGAAGGGCAGCACGGCCATCGGCAGGCCGGAGGTGATGGGCGCCTGCGTGACATTCAGAGCTCTGCGATACAAGCTGTTGGAAATTAATCCCGCAAGTGCCGCGTTTCCCCCGAGATACAAAGGTCCATAGAGGAAGAGTTTCTGATCAGTGTCAGGCAGTTTTTCGAAATTCTTCGCCAGCATTTCAGCAATCACTGCTCTGGTGAGCGCATTTCCAGAGACGCTCTCCTTCTGGGTATTTTCCGACATTTTCAGACTTAATGTTTAAACCATATGCTTTAAACCGACAACGTCCCGTGTTGTGTAGCTAGAGATCCTGGTTTACAGTGAGGATAACGCGGTTTTCACTTTGAAGTAATGCTGTCCTCAGAATGAAGACAGAGCGCAGACATGTCTTACCCATAATTCAAAGAATATTAAGTAAGGTTTATTGCCCTGAGTCAAACCTCCCAGGCAGCGTTAAGCATAGCACATTTTCTCCGTAGGTTTTCCATTCATTAAAAAAGTGCGAAAGTTACTCGTAAATGCGAACATCTCTCTAACATGGCAGAGCTTTCACGTACACGGACAAAACTTCATATTAAAGGTGTGGATGAGTTCAGAAACACCTCAATTGAGTTGTGATAGATAGATAGATACATACATACATACATACATACATACATACATACATACATACTTTATTTGTATGTCTAGGTCTAGGTTTGTTGTTTTTAAATGTGCTTTGTAAATAAATTGACTTGACGTGACTACCTGAAAGGCTCAGCTCAGGACAACAAACTCTCAAATATCACGTGAGTATACGTCATTACTGTGCGTTGCGTCATGGAATTTGTTTGAGAACGTTCAGGAAAAATATCGTTGTATCAGATTGAAGTTCGCCATCTTTAAAGAAAAGTAGTCGGAGGCATTTTCCAGTTTCTTTGTTCATACTTATCACGGAATCGATAAATCTACAGTTTTGAACCCAGGAATTGTTAAAGGAAGGTAATACAAATCATTTTACTAATGCCAATTACCATTAAATTGCGATTCCTTTAGTTTAATGTATTCCTTAATTTTGGCTAACGGTAGCCAGTTAGCTTTTCCGATATTCGACGTCTCGCCAACAGGACATGCAGGCCTACATGTGTGGCTACAACAATACGTCTCGTCGGATATTATAGGTTTACAAATTGGGCCACAACCTTCTATAACTGAAACAGTCGCCGCTTGTAAAATTGATAGTCACTTCAGAATGTAATTTATTTAATGTGATGGCTAATATGCTAACTGGCGTAACGTTAATATTGTTGTGGGTGGCTAATAGTTAATGTGCTCAGAGCTCCACGGGCCTTTGGATCTAGAAAAGGCTAAAACTCGACGACTGTCTTGTTTATCTGACTTCTTGGCAGCTGAGTTGTCATAATACTGCCAAAAAATACAAACTTCAAGCCACCAAATGTAAATGCTATAATGAATAAAAATGCAAATCTGATGCGGATGTTGTCAGACTGTTACAGGCCTAGACAGCTGGGAAGGAAACGTCGAACATACGTTAACGTTGGGCTAAAGTTATAACTATTGCAGTTCGTACTATCCCGCATTATATTAACCGACTTTTAATAACCTGTGTTGACAAAGAGGGGCTGGTTAAATTGCATGATTTATTTGAGTTAAATTTTCTTGGATTTTACTTAACTGTTGCAGTATTGCATTGCACATTATGGCTTTCTGCAGACAGCCACGCAGTTACGATACGGAAGTTATTGTTCTGATTTGGCTTGAAAGCTGCAACTAAACATAATTTTCGTTGTTGATTTATATTGCCGGTTATTTTCGCGAATCACAATTCATTTACAGAGTGTAAGAAAATTGCGAAATTACCCGTAACGTATTCTCAGAGGTCAATGTGACACTTATGAAATTATGTAGTCTGTCTGTTAAACAGCCCAAAACTCAAAGATATGAGAGAAAAAAATGTAACGTAAAAATGTAAAATTATTGGAAAGATTAACAACGTCGTTGTTATTATTAAAACTGTAGCCAATTACAGTTTGGTCCTTCAACCTATCAATCAGTTGACTAATGGTTTCAAATGTACTTGCTTAACCCCTAGAGAAATTCAATGCAGTACACTGGGTGTCTTGCAATGGGGGAGGGGTCTCTACAGAAACAAACCTATTCGTCGTGCTGCACCTGAGGCCATGCATACATAAACTCTGCAGTTATTGATGAATATGAACACGAATGTCTTAGTTAGGATTCAGTGGGATTCTAGGTTATACCATTTTGAATTGTTTTTCTATGTATTCCAGATGCGTCACTCAAAACAAATGCGTTCCCCAGGTGTCTGGCTTGATGAGTACAGCTGGGAAGAGAGGATGGAGTGTCGTAAGCGAAAGAAAAGAGATTCACACAGCAGCGAAAGAGAAAATAAGTCTAGAAGAACTCACAATCACCACAAGACACATGAGGGGTAAATATTTACCTAGTGTTTGTTGTTTAATGTTACTACTTACAATTCAAGACCTTTTTGGTTTATTAAGGTGTACATTTGTAATAGAGTTGAATGTTTGTAGGAAAGCTGTTAATATGCCTAGAGCCACATCATAACCTATTCAGGAAAAATGTTGGCAAAGTTTAGATAGATATCAGAATTAAAAATAAGTATCTTCCGTCTTTGATCATCTTTTATTTATTGACCCAACTGCTGATGTCAGAAATGCTATTCAAGACTAATACCTATCTTAACATGAGAAATTGAAGCATTGACACTGTGGTTAAATTGAGGAGCAAGTATTTCCAAATGCAGGTCATTGAGGATTTAAAAATAGTTAGACTACGCCCTGTTAACTATTATAACGTCACTAGTTTTCAGAAATTTAGTGGCTTGTGCTTCTGTGTATTCCAATGACCTTCAAGTTAAGTTAGTAAGGCTTCAGATATGTAAACAACACATGCGCTCCATATTGACGATTGAATGTGCACTATAGAACACAACTCTTATGTCTGTATTATTTGCAGTGTTTGTTTTCTTAGTAGTATGTCAAATTGTTTTTTTTGTTTTTTTTCCACTTCACCCGGTGAAGTTATGTGCGGTGTTTTTTTGTTTTGCAATTCTGTCTTTTTGTGGACATGTATGATGGCCAGTGCGGTTACATTAGATGTTTCTTTCCACATCTACTCTAATTTTAATCCTGTAGAGAGGCAGACTTCTTTTTGGAAGACATCTGACACTACCAGGGTGCTAGGGCTCTTGGGGTTTCTTGATCTTTTTTAGATGCTTAGGTGCTAACATAGCCTGCTTGATGGGTGTGCTGGAAGTAATTAGAAACATTCTGATTAAACTCAACCTTAATGTGCAAACATAACGATGTTTAGGAGCAAGACACATATAAGGAACTCTTGAAAGGTTAATAGAAATTTTTATGAAAGGAATAAGCAAACTTACCCTTAGATTTTTTTAAAATCTCTATTTCATATTTGCAGAAATGGTACCATGCAGGTTTTAACTTCTGGTGTACCAAGATGTGCAGGTGTAGAATCACATATCATATTATGCTCCATCAGATTGTGCTGTAAATTGTTTAGTTCAAGTTTCAAGGAAGGCATGCGAAGGGTTTCCAAGGACACAGCATAAATGTTAAAACTGCCCAGATGTGTGGCATTACATGTTGGCATTTGCATGCTCCTCTAAGTACTATTTGGATGGTGATAATCTCTCACTAAAATGCTTTCTGAACTGCAACCTGTCATTGAACAGGATGCTTGGCGTTTGGTGACTGTAAATCAGTATGTTGCTAATTACAAATCTTACATAAAAAGCACAGGGGGATAGAGTGTCAGGCAATAGACGGACCATTAGCACCATCATATCCAGTCTTCACTTTAGAACTTGATCACAGACAAGAAACTGGGTTGTTCCTGACCTGACCTACGCTTTGTAGTTCTTGTTTTTGATCTGTGTGTGTCTTTATTTTCTTTGACTGTAGGCACTACCTGGAGACCCGCAGTTTGAACCAGAGGCTGGACTCTCGGGAAGGTCGCACCCAGGACTACAGTTTGGACATGGCCTGTGAGGAGGACAGTCGCGAAGCCACCTGCAAGGACAGAAACCTTGACTGGCACCATTACAGCAAATCATCTGGGCGGAGTGGTCGCAGCAGGCGAAGCAGCCACAGGCACAGAGACAGACGGCGCAGGCGTAGCCACTCTCGCCACAGGTCCTCCTCGGTACGGGAACCTCCTTGTCCCATCTATCCCCCTCCCTTGTCTATACCACCAAATCGAAAGGGTCATTATCACTGGTGTTTAGCCAATGCTTAACACCTATCTTTGTCTCTCTGTATCTCTGTGTGTCCTACACCTCACTATTAAGCATGATTTCCAGTAATGACAAGTAGGGGACTTAGGGGCTCAGGAAGTAAGGGATTGTGAGTGTTTTATTGATTTTCAAGAGAAAATTGGACCCAGTATTTGTGCTGAAATCTTAGTGGGTATTTATGGGACGTGATAGTAAAGAGAACTACATGTAGAAAGACTGTAATCACTCAAGTTCAGTTTTTTTCTGTACTACTCTGAGAAAGTCTCTCATCTGAAAATCTTGTTGCCATGTTTTTCTTCTGTAACACACACTATGTGGTGGCTGGCGCCCAATTTCTCTGACGGGGCTGAATTTGAATTTGCTGCTCCGTCCATTCGCCTGGCGGTGTTACTGAACGGGCCGAATCTATCCACCCCTACACCTCCCCCCCTTGGCCTGGTTGAATGAATGACGATGTCGCATTGTGGTGGCCTGGTGCTGGCTGACTGATGGGTTATTGATGTGATGGCGGATTGCGGCGGTTCCGGTGCAGAGGAGGAGCCAACACCGCAGGAGCAGGAAAAGATCCAGGAGTGTTGAGGATGATGACGAGGGTCACCTCATCTATCACAGTGGAGACATGCTGAGAGCGAGATGTATAGAATATATACCTTTTTTTTCCTACTGTTGTTCACACTTTGTGTCTCTCACTCTCTTGTTGTCTGGTTTTTACTTCCAAACATTAATGTAGAGGATGAAGTATTTGGGCCAATAGACTTAATTTTTTTTTTTTTTAGGTTAGATATTGCTTGTCAGTGTAACATAATTAGCATTGAGTTCTATGCCAGTGTTGAGAAGCCTGTTATATTAGTGTATCTAAACAGCAATATAACATCAGGCAGTGAACCAGCCAAAGGACAGTGTTTCACTTTGTCAGTGCTGTGTCTCTAACTTCAACTCTCTATTTTCTGTAGATGAGATTGTGTGTACTCTAGGAGAGGGTGCCTTTGGGAAGGTCGTTGAATGCATTGATCACTCTAAGTAAGTATAAATCAGAAAATATTTCTCATGGCTAAACATCCTGGAAATTTTTGTGCAGTCTGTACTTACTCTTTCTCTCTTACTTGATATTGAAAATATTTATATTTATAATATTTATATGTTTCCAGTGATGGAGCTCGTGTGGCTCTGAAGATCATTAAAAACATAGACCGCTACCGTGAGGCAGCTATGTCTGAGGTAGAGGTGCTTGAACAGTTGAAGTCCCTTGACTCTGACAAGAGATAGTAAGTCAATCCATAATAACTTCATACCACTAAAGTCTGATCATTTTGAGGTTGTGACATACGATAATGTGTTCAGAATTTGCTTTGCAAGAAATTTACTTTACATCTATTCTACCTTTCCACCCCTTTAGTGCTTGTGTGCATATCCTGGACTGGTTTGACTACCATGGCCATGTTTGTATTGCCTTTGAGCTGCTTGGCCTCAGCACCTATGATTTCCTCAAGGAGAACAACTTCCAGCCTTTCCCCATTGAACACATCAGACATATGGCATACCAGATTGTCCGAGCTGTTCGATGTGAGTACTAGACATACATGCACAGAAAATACAGTGTGTCTCTGAAAACAGCTTGGTTTAAAATGTATGTGGTCTTGTCTTTCAGTTTTGCATAAGAACAAGCTGACTCACACAGATCTCAAGCCTGAGAATATTCTCTTCATTGATTCAGACTATGATATGGAGTACAACTCTGACAAAGTAAGCATCTTAAATATTTAACCAAAAAAAAAAAAAAACAACCTAAAAAAAGTCCAGAACTCCTTGTTTGTGCCAGCAGCTGTTTGAGTACATGATTGTGTTCTTGTCCTCAGAAACGGGATGAACGAACATTGAAAAACCCAGATGTGAAAATTGTGGACTTTGGTAACGCCACGTATGAACATGAGCACCACACATCTGTGGTGTCAACGCGTCACTACCGCGCTCCTGAAGTCATTTTAGGTAAATGGCTGTTTTTAAGCACTGCAACTGTGGGCATATTCTTTATTGGTGACTTGTTATTCAGTTAACATTTGCTCTTTCAGATCTGGGATGGGACCATTCCTGTGATGTCTGGAGTGTAGGCTGTATACTCATCGAGTACTACCTTGGATCAACTCTCTTCCAGGTAGTTGGCATTACAGAGCATAATGAAATAATTAATATTTGTGACATTAACAATAGCATTTATTAAGCTGGTTCACATTGCTTTCTTATTTAGACCCATGACAGTAAAGAGCACCTTGCTATGATGGAGAGAGTCCTGGGCCCCATCCCCACAAACCTCCTGCAGAAAACCAAGTAAGAGACCATCAGCAGACCTATTTATTAACAGTTCTTATTATGTGTCAATGAAGAATTTCTTACACTGTTGAATGGTTTTGCTTTGTAATTGAGGAGGGATTTCTGCTAAATAATAATTGCATGGTTTTTAGGAAACGACGGTACGTTCACCGGTGCAAGCTGGACTGGGATGTGCACAGTTCTTCTGGGAGATATGTCAGGAAACACTGCAAACCCCTCAAGGTAAGAGGGAAGGAGCTGAAGACTACCACATACAGTCATTGTTGTGCTATTGTACTCCAAGAATCACATTTGAAAATACACCTGTTTTTATTAAATGTGTGAAATGCACTTTCCAACAACTCCAAAACTCCAACGTTTACATGTTGTATCATGTGACCTAGCATGGGGGCCCTCAGTACATCCAAGAGACACCTCTTGGTAACTGTGCATAGCCTACAACTTCACAATCAGGATAGGATCCCTAATTTTCTGCACACAGCTACTGAGCTCAGCTCTTGGTCATAAAATAACTCCAATATACAAACTGACTAAGTGAAATACACAGCATGCATGTAAATAAGACAGTTTTGGAGTTGTTGGAAGCTACCTTGCCTGAGCTGATGTTTCCCCCAGAGACTCCACTCAACACATTTTGAGTATCTCTGTGTCTGAATATAAAAAAGATTGAATAAATTTTGATCTTGGCTAAATCTTAGACAGATGGTACACAAACACATTCCCAAAGTGTGTTTCATTAACAACACTATAAACTACTACCTCAAAAAATAAGTGCCCACTACTTACATGGTGTTTATCATAGTAGCAGACATGATGTATAACAGCACTTAAAATGCAGAGTACTAGTTTAATTATGACATAGTGTAAAGAGACTGATCAACAATTGTTCATCTTTTCCCACCAGCATTACATGGCATCTAAGGATGAAGACCACCACCAGCTGTTTGACCTGATAGAGAAGATGATGGAGTATGACCCAGCTAAGCGCCTCAGTCTTGAACAAGCTCTTCGGCACCCCTTCTTCTCCTGCTACTACAGCAGCAGCAGCAGCAGTAGCAGTAAACGCAGCAGCAGTAGAAGCAGTAGCAACAAAAGGAGACTGAACTCCTGAACCTGTTAACATCTGACCTGTAACCTTGGTCACATGGCGTCACCATGTGAACATCATGGTGCTCGGTGCTAGCCTTTGCTTCCTGACTCTCCAGGAGAGGTGTACCTTAACTGACTGTATCAGTCCACTGCCCTGCTTTGCTGCGTCTTGTCCCTAAATCAGTGCTTCTTAATCTCGCACATCCACAAGTTCTGTTTTCATCTGCGGCATGTTTTGATGTAATCCCCCCAAGTGATTTCTATTTATTTGCCATTGTAATTTAAAGTATGGCTTCTGATCATATCTTTGTAGATTTTTTTTTTTTACTTCTTGTCCAGTTTTGTCCATGTTTTTTGTGTGCAATGTTAGGTGATGGGTCATGTGACAGACAGAAATGCTTTACCCTGATTCAGTCTCACCAGTAATAATTTATTTAGCAGTGTAGATGTAAAAAGCTCTTGCAGGCAGAAAATCCTTGTAAATAGAATTTGTTCAGGTATTTCACTTTTTCACTGACTGGTTATGTAACTTTTGAATTATCATGTACATTTTCTCAATAAACGTGAATTGACGACAGAAGTGTGTAAAGAGATGTTAAATGTGGTGCTGTAGCTGCATCAAACCACAGGATGGCAGTAAAGAGCTTTAGTATTACTGCAAAATGAACATCACAGAGGACCAACAAGGTAGAGCTGCCAGAGCATAAACCTCAATCTACAGATTTGGCGCTGTAATCAACTGTAATGTGGGAGAAAATTGTCATCCAGATTTTCTTATAAGCATTTCCCAGTGACGAGTCTCATTAAGGTTAGTAGCAAAAGTCTATGCATTTAAAGGACATGTACTAGACTCAAACTACAGAGATTTATTCTGTATTATTAGGCTTCAAAATACTGAGTTACAGTATTATCATTGTTCAAGCCGCTCGAGTATATGTTCAGTATACTGACAGTTTCTGACAAAACAGCTGATTTGTAAATTGTAATTTGTCACAGTATGTGGGCAGTATGCATCTTTTGTTGAAACATATACTTCGACATAACCCTAGACTCATAGATTTTAAAACCATAACTGCCCGGCTGTGCATTTTATACATTACCCAGCAGTTTCACAATTTATTGCATTAACAAGGAGCATGGCCACCATCCACTGTTCCAGTCCATACACATTTCAGTTGACTACAATGTGTTTGGAAATTATGGTGAAAAACCAAAGTAGCTGCACGGACTCTACCAAAACAAACGAAGGTCCCTCAGTGTGATCAAACCCTCGCTGTCTCACTCAGCTGTCAATCTGCAGCCTCCCACGTGGTCTGCAGGGCGGGCGCATCTCAACTAGTTGAACGTGCAACTTTTAGGGAGGCAAACAATTGGACGCATTGGTAGTTGCACTTGCACATCCATGTCGGATACTGCCTAACAGGAAACAACGACCTGCGAGTCAGAAGGCGCCTCTTCTCTGCTTGGCACCCAGATCGCTCTCAGCCGTTGCCTCTTGTTCCAAGACTAATTTAAGACAGCGCTTTGAATGCTGAGTCTAGCGTGCTGGAGCTGGTTGTTGTGTATGCCTTAAGAACACTGCTTAGTTAGTCCACAGAGGCTGGTTACAATTTGGTTGTAGAACTGCACCAGAAAAACACGCCGTTTGGGTAATTTTCTTTTCACCAAGCGAACTTTGAAGCAGGATTTCATCATGGATACAGCCAGCGACTCCATCGGGGAAAGTAAGCCGGTGTGTCAGTGTGCCACCAAGTCTGCGGTGCAGCGGTGGCTGCCAGGTTTTCCCATCGCTCTGTGCTTGCTGATGTCCCTGAGCTCCATCACAGTGTGTCTTCTGATGAGCTTCAAGACCTTCCAGCTGGAGAACCGACTGCAGATGGAGATGGACAAAGCGTCCATCTTCAGCCCGCCGCACAGGGCTTTTCTAAATGAAGATGGGACCCTAATTCCAGAACTGAGCAGCCCAATTGGGAAGCTCGTAAAAGAGGTACATGGCGTCTATTGTGGATTTAATTAAAACCGATAGTCTCTGATAAATACGTATGTTGTTCGCGTGAAACGCTGACAGACCCGCTGCTCGCCTGTGCGTAAAGTGTGCGTAATAACAGGGGACATGTGCAGTAAAGTTTGCAAACTCATAGACATAGTAACTGTACTCTAATGATTCCCCCTAAATTCAGTCCTTTTTTAACGCATAACCTTAGGGATATACCAGACATGCAGCTGGCCAATTAGGTTGCAGTTAAAGCTCTTTATAGGGTGACATAACCACTGATGATAGACACCAACCTATAATTTAATCACATGGAAAAGAAATTGAGGAAACCTTTTTAGTTCTGAGCTATATATAAAGGGCAAATTATTATGATCTCATAATTATTGGTAACCACTAAGATTATTTTAATTTCCAATCTATAAAATTGACCCTAATGATATCCATTTGTTCAATTTTTTCTTCTTGATAAAATTGACCAATTCTGTAGCCCACAAGACTTAGTCAAACCAAACGAAAACTTTATCACTTTATCACCTACACTGTTTTTGCATTGAGAATATACAGGATCCATGTTTAGTGGGGACTGAGTTTTTTTTTTTTTATTATTTTAAACTGGAATTTGTTGTGTGTGTCTGCAGGAAATGGTGGTGCTGATGCCGAAAATGCGAACAACAAGGGATGTTGGCCAAGAGTGCTCCTGTCCTCCAGGTATCTGTGTCTGCTCTTTGAAGCATTAGTGCCACTTACCAGAACACACAAACAAAACAAGCAATACACTACAAGTCAGTGTCTCAGGTAGAAGTTCCAGTCTAAGCTTGACTGACTGCTTGTGAAACCTGTAGTGATGTGATGTAGTTGTGCTGTGTGTGTGTGTGTGTGTGTGTGTGTGTGTGTGTGTGTGTGTGTGTGTGTGTGTCTGTGTGTGTGTGTCTGTGTGTGTCTGTGTCTTTTTCTGTGTGGGGGGATTACGACCCCTAAGCCTGTGTAGGGCCCATACTGTGACGGCAGGGTTCAACACTCAGCAAATCAGTGGGGTCGGGACGTCCAGCCTGAGCCCAGCAGCCCCAGTGTCAGTGGGGGATGCTCACTTTAATAGATGGAGCGGCCGTGTGCCAAGATTGGCCACTTTTGGCTTGTGGTGTTCATTACAGGGCTTGTGATAGTTCCTGGGGTGGAGAACAGTGTGTGATCTGCATCACGTTACACACAGACACCTCTCTCATGCTTGTGATTCAAAGAACGGTGGTATTTCTTTTATTTTGGATGAACATCAGTGGGTGTGACCCATTGATCAGCAGTGCATTTACTGGTTTACATGGGAAGTTTTACCTCACCTATGGAAAGGAAAGTTGTGGTTTATGGACAGAGAAATCCTCTGACTTGTAGCAACAGCGCGTGTGTGTGCGTGTGTGTGTGTGCGTGTCTTTGTGTGTGTGTGTGTGTGTGTGTGTGTCTGTGTTTTATTCTCAAGTGGAATCTTGCCATTGTCTCTGAAGAAAGAAAAAAAACTGCTTCCACACATCTTCTGCTCCTAAATTTTTGTATTAAGAAGTCAAAGCAGAGGTTGAGTTTTTTTTGATTATCTGCAGATTTGGGGGAATTTCCTTCTCTATCTTTCTCTCTCTCTCTCTCTCTTTGTCTCTGGGTGTGAAGAGCCCTGCAACAACGAGAACAGGTGAAAGCGTTCACTAGTGGAATTTCTGGCCCGCTTTCAACACATTCTGTTTTCTAGTCTGAAGTCTGCTGTGCCAAGATAGCTCGCTTGCTCTGGCTGGCTGGTCACAGAAGTTGGTACAAGTATTTGTTGTTTGCTTTGGATTCAGCAGACCCAAAGCCACTGATACTGTTAATACAAGCTGTAGGTCTTTGCTGTAGTTCCACTTTTGTCATTCAGTGCATTCCTACTAAGTATGACTCAGTAAAAATGTAATCAGGTGTGTACCTAGTAAAAAGTTGCTTGTTTAGGACTGGCCTGCTGTCCCACTTGTGCATTTTAATGTAATTACTCCATTAGATCATATTATTGTATCATATGTTGTGTCCCATTTTCCTGTCAATTTTGCTGAACTGCTGTGTAATCAAGCTGCTTTTGCACTGAAATACAATCTCTCCACAACTATTCAGAAGTCTCTTTAAATTTCTCTCTCTTTTCGGTTTCTGGCTCTCTTTTAAATATGGTGTTTTGTTTTTTTGTGAAACAAAGGCTTTTTTGTTTATTGCAGCTTTGATGCAACCGAATGCCTGCAGACATGTATTTTTTTTTTCATGTCTAAACGATTAGATTGCTCAATACAGACTTGTTAACATTTCTCCATAAAATGTGTTTATTTCTAAAGAGGGTTTCTCAGCCGATAAGCTTTTTCTTGGTGCTCTGTGCTGAAGAGGCCACGTGAACTGGGTACTGTTACGGGTGTGCATGTGTTTGTGCCAAGTGCTCTACATGAGATTTACCTAAATTGTTTTTATGTGCATTTATCTGAGCTGTGCTTCTGTGCCTACATGTGTGCATCCCATTTGCGTCATTGTGAGAAAGTGTACAAGCTGTATCATGGTCCCATGTGGCTGCGTGTGTGTTTAAGTTTCAGTCTCTGAGCCTTTGAGGGGCCGACAGAGGCACCTCTCTCAACACGACAGTGTAAGAAGAGACTCTTCGCTCCCTTTAGCATCAGCTCTCGCCACCTGAAACTTGAATCTCTCACCACCAGGATCACAGGCCAAGGTATTTCTGCCTGTATGTGTGTGAGAGATGTACTACCACACAGCATGAGCGGCATTTCTGCCAGTAAAGCTATGCCCTCCGCATCAGTGTGCTCACCTTTCAGCATGCATGAGGACAGGGGCCCAACAGAGGGCAGCACTTCTGCAGCAGCACTGGAAATGATGTTTCCAGTTTCCAATTTGTCATTGAATCTTCTGACTAAAGGACTTCCTTCTGATAGGAAAAAAAAATGAAGGCAAGAACCCCTGTTTCAGTCACTGTTAGAGCAGCAGAGATTGTGTCTATAAATAGAACTTGACCACAGGCTCTGACTCCGGGCACATTTATCTCTCACGTCCCCTCAATGGAAGCAGCATTGTGACACTTTTATGCTCACAGATACAACACGGCCAGCAGTCGTAAAGTCTTAGGCAAACTATGTCACAGCGTCCAACTCTGCTTACAAGCTTCAGGTGTTTGCAATTAACACCCGCCTGTTCCCTCAACAGACACACACAACGTATGCTTGCAGACAAACGCACGCACACATTCATTACTTACACATGAACATAACACCTTTATGGTGCCTTGGCTAATTAGAACCATGTGGGGGCTGAATGTGTCCTGTGTAGGGGGAGTGTATTGTCATCTCTGCAATTTGCATTTAAAGGCTTTTTAACAGCTCTGATGCTGACTAGGGGGCACAAAGTCTGCCCACACTTGGGGACAGGCCCAAACCTAAATGCCAGCCATCAATATTACTCACTCACCAGTCACTGAAGCCTGGAGTTTGGACTGTCACTCTGGGCTTTAGGAATTTGTGATGGACATTTTTTTCTATTTCTCCAATTTAAATAGACCTGTCTCTGTCCTAGGTCATAGTTAAGACTGAGCTCCTTCTGTCAATGTGGGGCATCTAAGTTTTTGGTTTTAGTGTATGTGAGGGCAAGAGGTCAGACCCCTGGCTGTGCGGTCAGATCACTTTCCATCAGATAAGAGCTCATTAACACACTCAATATGAGCTCTGGCCCCCCATATATGTGTGACTGTGAGTATTTGTATAATTGATAGAGCAGTCTCACAGCAGGATTCCTTCAACTATTTAACATGTACACATCAACATAAATGCTTTATGTACAAGTACAGCTATTTGTATTTATTGTGCGTCCAAATTCCTACATATGTGGAGGGTTGTTATTATACCCCCATTGTCTGCAGTAGTGTAATGTTTAATAGGCTGGGAAATACAGTATAACATCCTGTGTGAAGCCCATCATCAGTGTGCTGGTGTTAACCGGCCTGTCTGGGGATCAACCTCTCACCCAGGAGGCAGAGGGGAAGCTCTCCCTTCCCAGCTTCCTGCTCTCCCGCCTGGAGGAGGAGGAGATGGGGAAAGCCAGCTTTGGGGAGACGGAGACCCATGATGGAGCCAACACCCCCGGGGCGGCGTTTTGCTTTTAAAGCCATAATAAATCAGACAGGAAGCTTGTAGCTACCTATGCAATCTATCGCCATAGAAAGAACAAGTGGGCCATATAAGATCCATTAATGACCATTTTAAAACAATAAGTGCAGGAAATTTGTTTTCATAAGCATTTCCATTTTAGATTAGTTCCACTATAGCGATGCGCTGTAGGCAGTTTCTTTAAGTATTAATATGCTGGAGAGCAGCACGTAACTAGCTCTGTGTGTGCATGTGTGAGTCTCTGCTTTCTTATACTCCATTGGGGGGGGGGGGGGGGGCGCGTGTGTGCGCACTCACTTCCACCCATGTGTTTCGCGCACATGTATTTGTTTTGATGTCTGCAGGCATATGTTTTAGTGTGTGGCTCCCAGTTACTGACTGCATTGCTTTAAATTTGCGGTGTATGAAGTCAGTTATGAAGAGGGTATCCTGTGGCAGAAAATCCAGGTGGCTTATTACATTTATGCTGCAGGGGGAAGGAGACTTCAAACCACGGAAGAAAATATACAAGTTTTAAAATACAAAGTACTTTCTATGCTGCTGCAGCACACACTCAGGTGTCCGTGCCCGCATGCGGACACATATTTCTCAGAGTTCGTCTGCAGGGTGTTTTCTGTGTGTCATTTTTTTCTGTTCCGGACAAATATGTTGTTGAGAATAAATCCTCCTACATCGAGTCCATCTATGTTGTTATTTGTTGAAATGAGTTTCCCCAATTTAGTTATTTAACATGGCATATTTGCATAATTTACCTGTATTTAGGCTTTTAAGGGGAAAAAAGCCTGAATAATGCTGCTGAGAAAGTGTCAATGATTACTTTACCAGTGGTCATTTGCCTTTTGATGGATATTGTCAGGAAGTAAGTAGCATAAACCTTCCCTTCTTCCCTCCTCTCTTCTTTTCTTACAGCCTGCTTTTCATTTACCACTATATCAAAGACTACAGATACAGTCGTCATATGGACAGCTGCTCTAATGCACAGCTGTGTGAGCCTCATGTCCTTAGGTTACTTTTATCCTTCGCCTGAAGTGTCTGTTATTCCCTCTGGCCACTGTAAGAGGGGAATAAAAATGAGTGACTCTTATTGATGTCTTGTTCTCATTTGGAAGATGATCTTGGACGGCTCGAGTGTGCTCAGTTTATTTGTAAAGGGAGAGGGGAATGCTGCGTCTTGGCTGGTTGGAGATATTTAGTTTGGAGATGTTTGTGTCTGTCAAAGGCTGAGTTAGTTGGTCACAGGTTTAGGTTCAAGAGGTGCTTCTAGATAGATGGACTACATTCTCCAGGAGTGAGTTGTACCCAGCTATTTGTAAATCCATCTCCAAGTTTGTGTGTGCAAGTCCTAAGTTCCCATTAACAGATAGCTAATTTTCATGCAAAATATTGATTTGCTAAATGGGGATGCACCATTAAAAGTTAAAGAGAACTTCACTTATTTTGCACAAAATCTGTTTCCAGGTTTTGGGGAGTACTACTGCATATGTGAATATTTACTATGTGTATGCGTGTATGTCCAGTGCGATCTGTGCAAAGATTGATAAATTG